CATGTTACTCTTTTATCAGGAAGTGCTCATCATTCTAAAAATGTGCTAATTCAATCAATGAGTTTGCAGATCATATAGCCTATATCCTTAGATGCCCAGCCACAACATTAAAGATTGCATTATGATCTTGTAGCTAATTGGGAGACAAAAACTCAAACATTCATGTTTCCGTATCACTATGGCTTTGAAGCCCTCACATTCTGCAGTATACAACCACAAGTTCTGTGCCATATGTATACTAACATAAGAAAAACCTTATCTTTCACAAAGAAAGAGGCTACACAACCGCTAACAGAGACTTACTTCCTCAATTTAAAATGCAACTCGTTTTTTGTGCTACTTTGCAGAACCAAACTCATAAACCCATAAGCAGTTATTGATTCTGCCCAACTACATTATGCGCATTGCCAAAGTAGTTAAGTCGTTCTTACATATAGACTTAAGGGTTGCAATCCTTACCAATACTCAACAAGAAGATACGAAAACTTTAATCGCAGAAAAATATGCCCAGTTAATGAGATGCATCATACTCATATGAATAAATCAATCCATATATATATATATATATATATATATATATATGTATCACACACACATTGGTCGAATGGGAATGAATTTCCAGGTAAACATTATATTTCATTTCTACGCCTACGACTTGTGATAAGTAACCTCTAGTGCATTTAGGATATAAATATTTATTATTGATCTTTGAAATTAAGAAATTTATCCATAAGACATATCACACAAGTCATGCAATTCATGCTTTCAAGATAACTTGCAGACATATATAGATGTAAGCATGCATATACATACCAGATCCAAATTACCCAAGTAAACTGCTCACGTCTTTCATCAAGTGATGCATTGCCCAGAAAGTTATAATTTTAAATTTTATCTTTTCAAAAAGAAACAAGCGGTTGATTGACACGCTCCACATGGATAATACCACAACATCATCCAACCCAATCAGACATTAAAGTCTTAATTGCATCAATTCTAAGCTTCACGTCAAATACAACACCATATGTTGTCCAAGACTTTTAAGGCCACAACCTTAAACTCTCAATAGGAGAATCGCGAACATTTATATTTCTGATTGTTCCATAGAGATAAAAATTTATGTCTTTAGATTGTTGGAGTAATATTAGAAAATATGAAAAATAACAATATAATTCTAATGATAATAATCATAAAGAAATTCACAACATCAATTACATATGAGATTAATATAAACAACTAGAGATAAAGTTAGAAAAACTGATAAACTTGGAGATGGAGGCTTGCATAAATACAATGTCCTAAAGACAGAATTTCACCCTTACTCTTGTGTTTGTAGTTCGATACGCGTCTGTCTCCCAGGATTCAACAATGTATAATCCGAAGTTAGAGCACTTCAATCTTCGGACTTTGGTGAACTTCATATATTCTGTACTCTCAAGACACGACTCAGATTTCTACTAGGACATTGGAGAAAACTCTTATTTATTTTTAATTCTATTAGACAGGTGGGATGCTTGAGTTTATATAGAACTCAAGGCACCATTTTTGAAACATTATGACTGTTGCCTAAAGTTTCAATGAACAGATATAACTCATGAATTTGAATTCAACTATGACACATGATTCTTATTTTTCATTCGTAAAAAAAATTAAATATTATAATATTAATTATAATATATAATTTCCAACAATATATACCGTGTAATTAAAGTGGTAGTAGTAGCTGCTAGATGATCAGTTGCTTTGAGATGGATGAAAATTATGTATGGGGACGCTACTGTATTTATGGATTAGCAAGAGACACTGATGATGAACTGGTCTTGGATATTCCCTCTCGATAATCGAAGCAGTTAAAGATTCGGATTAATTCTAGAACCACGTAAAGACTTGGTTGTAATTACGAATTGATTGAACTGGATAATAATTTAACATTAACTGAACTGGTCTTGGATTAACATTTATTATTAATGGTAAAACTAAAACATGCATATATAGGTGTTTTCAGTAACTAATCAAATCGATCTCAATTAAGATAGCCGGAATTAAAACTATAAATTATGAATACTTTGACACTTGAAATCAGAAGTTACTTAATGTTTGAATTTCCCAGCACGTAAATAATTTGATTGAGTCCTATTATTTGGTGTTTCAATATACAATATACAGTTTTGCTTGAAAAAGAACAAGTGAAGAATATCCGGTTAAAGATAACTTTAATCCCACGATTGTTGAGGGCAACTGACAAATGCAACAAAGAAAAACTACAAATTATGAATAAGTTGACACTTGAAATCAAAAGCTACTTATGTTTGAATTTTCCAACACATAAATAATTTGACTGAGTCCCATTATTTGGTGTTTCAATATACAATATACAGTTTTGCTTGAAAAAGAACAAGTGAAGAATATCCGGTTAAAGATAACTTTAATCCCACGATTGTTGAGGGCAACTGACAAATGCAACAAAGAAAAACTACAAATTATGAATAAGTTGACACTTGAAATCAAAAGCTACTTATGTTTGAATTTTCCAACACATAAATAATTTGACTGAGTCCCATTATTTGGTGTTTCAATATACAATATACAATTTTGCTTGAAAAAGAACAAGTGAAGAATATCCTGTTAAAGATAATTTTAATCCCACGATTGTTGAAGGCAACTGACAAATGCAACAAAGAAAAACTACAATCTGAGATGAAAAACTAGAATTTTAAACTTTTGGATCATACAAGTATCCGATTCAATCGAGGGTTTTTCTCTTTCTTTTTTTTAACTTTTGGGTTTTTTTCTGTGCTTTTTCTGCTCAACGATGCCATTGGCGTCGGCTTTTATGGAGATTCTGAGATGACCCACGATAGTTGAGGTGCTGGGGGAGTTGATGATGTTGATAACCCCTCTATCGATTGTTGTGATTGTTATTGGGGGTTTGGTTGGATGGGAGTGGAAGCCCAAATGGGAGAGCATTGGTTGGCCGAGAGAACTGAAGAGATTTTTTGTTCCTGGTTTTTGAGAGAGAGCTGGAGAGATTGAGAGATCTGTATTGGAAGCAGTAGAAGAGCTTTCCGCGATGACCAACACGTGGGTTTACCATTTAGAGAAAGGAGAACAATAGCTGGAACTCAAGGACGCATTATACCCACACACTCGTAGCACATAGATAAAACTGTCATTTTACTATTAAGATTGAAAAAAAAAAGAGCAAAAGAATAGCAAAACAGGGGATAAAACGTGAAAACACTGAATATTACTGTGTTATATAATACGTAATTTCCGTTCTTTTCTTCTCATTGTAGTAATCTTCTAGTCAGGGGTACTCATGTTTTCAGAAATTGGGCAACGAATAAAGTTTGACCCAAATCTAGGCTGAAAGATGTCCAATGCGAACCTGATTTCTCATGTAAATCCAAATTGATCAGAAGTGAACACTTAACAAAAATATGTCTACATTGGTGCACTTGAATTTTGAAGTGGTCCAATATAGAATGAGTTTTACTATAAGGAATATATGGTCGCGGCTTATTCAACTTCAACTATGAAGTGTTTAGACCATCTCCACCTTTGAGTTAAAACCTAAATTTTTTAGCCTAGAAAATTTAAGTTTTAATCCAGAAATTGTTTTTCTCCTTCAACCTTTGTGGGTTAAATTTTTAGCCCTAGATTATTAAAGAACGATAGCTGGAACTCAAGGATGTATTATACTCACGCGCGTACTACATAGATAAAACTGTCATTTTACTATTAAGATTGAAAATAAAAGAGCAAAAGAACAACAAAACAGGGGCTAAAGCGTGTAAACACTGAGTGTTACTGTGTTATATAATAGAGAGTTTTAACGAAACACTCTCGGTACTGTTCACTTTTAATGAAAAACCACATTTTTACATTTCTCTAGTACTATTCACTACACGTTTATTTATCATTTTTCATTAAAACTAAAGTTTTTTTTTTTCAGATTTTCGTTAGTTTTATTTTTATATAATATGTAATTTCCGCTTTTTCTTCCCATTGTAGTATTCCAGCCGGGTAGTCATGTTTTTATAAAGGACAAGGATTGTCTGCCCTTCCACTTCCGGTGCCCTCCCATGCCATCATGTTTGTATAGTCACGTTTAAGCAACGTCAACATTTTATATTACTATTTATTTTTGTCTTATTATCTCTATAAAAAAATAATATAAAATGTTAACGTGGCTTAACCGTGACCATACAAAACAGGAGGGTACAGAAGGGCATCGGAAGTAGGAGGACAGACAATCCTTGTCCTTCTATAAATTGGGCAACGAACAAAGTTTGGCCCAAATCTAGGCCAAAAAATGTCCAATGCGGACCTGATTTCTCATGTAAGTCCAAGTTGACCAAAAAACAAAAATATGTCTACGTTGGTGCACTCGAATTTCGAAGTGGTCCAATATAGAATGAGTTTTACTATAAGGAATATATGGGCGCGGCTTATTCAACTTCAAATATTAAGTGTTTAGGATTGGATGGAGGTCAGTCCAACTTCTCCTACCCTTGTCATGTAGTTACATCACTCTATGTTAACTGGAGAGGTATTAACTACGGAACGATTCAAACCTAACCCACTAATGTACAAGAACAAAAGTAAACAAGGAGGACACAGACTGTTCAGCTCCGACCCCCCCCCCATTTATTTACATCCCAAGGAGTCTTCTGTCCTGTTCTAAATTTGATCTCAAGTTGTCGTATTAAACAAATAAATATGCAGCAGCAACTAGCAAGCTTCTTTTATTTTTGTGTAAAATATTGTATTGACCGGTAGCAAAAACAAATGAAAACAAGGATAATCGTGTCCGGTCCGCCCTCCTTGCTCCCACGGGAAATTTCAAGCTCCTCAAAAATCCAATAACAAACAGTCAAACACCCCTTTGCCTGCGTTCCCTTGGAATTTCCAAGCTGCCCTCTTTATTTAGCCCTCAAGTCCTTTGCAGCTCTTTTATACTTGCCCCCCCCCCCCCCTTTTCCTTTTCTTCTTCCTCCCTCCCTCCCGGTGATGAGAATGTATCTTTCTTTAGCTAGTACGCTAATTAATCAAATGAGTTAATATTCTTGGGTTTCTCGTTCAACTTCAAACCCCTATTAAGCTCTGCTTGTCTTTTCGAATTATTCAGGTAAGTTTCACACCTTTTTTTCAGGATTTTTGAACTCCAACTCAAATTACAATGTATGCTTTTTTGCTCTCTCTATTCTTTTGTTTTTATAATTATAAATGCAAATTTATGCCTTCAAACTAGAAATTAAAAAAATTTGGAAGCTGTAAGTTGCAGTAGGTTTTGTCTTATATTGTTTTTTGATATCTTTAAGCTTTGTTCCCTGCAGAAAACAAAGACTTTTTGAACCCAAATGGAGCTAACTAGCATGATCACTTAATAGAATTTGACAAGAATAAAATATCTCCTATTACTTTCTTTGAAATATATACATATACAATCCTATACAATCCTTATTGAATAAGGAAACAAATAATTAACTTTATAAACAAAACCTCCCTAATAAAGGACTCACGACCAACACTCCCCCTCAAGTTGGTGCATAGATGTCACACATGCCCAACTTGACAAGTGAGTCTTCAAACTTTCGACTACACACAACATGCGTGAGAACGTCTGCAAGTTGCTCCTCCGATTTCACAAACGGTATTGACACAATTTTTCTCTCAAGTTTCTCTTTAATAAAATGTCGATCAACCTCCACATGTTTTGTTCTATCATGCTGTACCGGGTTATCGGCTATATCTCTCGCTGATTGATTATCACAATATAATCTCATGATCTCCTTTGGCTTGAACCCAAGCCCTTCAAGAAGTTTCCGAAGCCAAAGAATTTCACAAATGCCGTGGGCCATACCTCTATACTCGGCCTCGGCTGACGATCTCGATACCACCTTCTGTTTCTTACTTCGCCATGTAACCAAATTCCCGCCTACAAAAGTAAAATATCCCGAAGTAGACCGTCGGTCACTCACATTTCCTGCCCAATCAGCATCTGTGAACCCCTCAACATTCAAATGTCCATGCTTCTGATATAAAACCCCTTTTCCAGGTGCAGACTTCAAATATGCTAAGATACGCATAACAGTAGCCATATGATCTACACTTGGTGAATGCATAAATTGACTTACTACACTCACTGCATATGCAATATCTGGTCGTGTGTGAGCCAAGTAAATTAGTCTCCCTACAAGTCTCTGATATCTCCCTTTATCAACTGATTCCTGATTCGGATCCAAACATAGATGATGTTTTTCAACAATAGGAGTATCTACTGGCTTACATCCTAGCATACCGGTTTCTTTTAACAAATCCAAAACATACTTACGTTGTGACAAGAAAATACCTTTCGAAGATCGAGCAACTTCAACTCCAAGAAAATACTTCAAATCTCCCAGACTCTTCATTTCAAACTCAGCCGCAAGGTTACTCTGCAACTTTGAAATCTCATCAAAATCATCTCCAGTAATAATCATGTCATCTACATAGATGATTAAAGCTGTCACTTTTTCCTGTCTTCGTTTAACAAACAATGTATGATCAGAATGACTCTGATAATATCCAATCCTTTTCATAACTTGAGTAAACCTATCAAACCATGCATGAGGTGATTGCTTAAGTCCATAAAGAGACTTACGCAACCGACATACTCCGGTATTTCTACCAACACTGTACCCAGGAGGAAAATCCATATATACTTCTTCCTCCAAGTTCCCATGGAGAAAAGCATTTTTCACATCAAACTGTTTTAATGGCCAGTCCATATTAGCAGCTAAAGATATCAGAACACGTACCGTATTCATCTTAGCAACCGGTGAGAACGTTTCCTGATAATCTACACCATAAGTTTGGGTGTATCCTTTAGCTACCAACCTTGCTTTGTACCTATCTATTGATCCATCAGCTTGGTATTTGACAGTAAACACCCACCGACATCCAACTGTTTTCTTCCTTTCTGGTAATGACGTCACCTCCCAGGTATTATTCTTCTGTAATGCCAACATTTCTTCATCCATTGCATTTGCCCACTTCAGATCCTTTAGAGCCTCCTCCACACGGGTTGGTACCTGAATAGCATCCATATTGTCCACCAAAATCTTGCGCTCTGATGCAAGACCATTGCATGAGACATAGTTGGCTATTGGATACTTCACTTTACCTTCCGGAGAAAACCTATCAGGTGGTACACCCCGATTGTGTCTCGGTGGCAGTATATATGTATTTACATCATTACTTGCATCAGTTACATAATCATCCACAATACTTACCTCAAGTATATCCAGAGAAGATTCATTGGGCAGCACAGTATAGCTAGAGAGAGGGGGGGTACGGTAGTAGTAGCAGAATCGGTAAGGAACGACTATAGTAGTATGTTCCTGCCGTGGGGTTGCTGAAGGTACTGCAGCAGTTTCTCCAATAGTAGTATGTTCCTGAGTCTCATGAAGCTCGACAGCATGTACTTCGGGAGGAAGTGGCGGCTCTACCATAGTATTTCTCTCTAGGTCCAACCATCCAAGATCACCACAAGTGTTCTCCCCCTGGTGATCGGAAGATGAAGATACGGGAGCATAAAACAATTCTGACTCAGAAAATGTCACATCCATAGTAACATACAGATGGCGAGTCTCGGGATGATAACACTAATACCCTTTTTGGTGAGACGAAAAACCAACAAAGACACATCGGAGGGCACATGGATCCAACTTAGTACGATGAATCTTGTGAATATGCACATATACCACACACCCAAATACCCGGGGGATGAGAGTAAGAGTAGACACCATTGGTACGTGTTGAGTGAGGACTTGAAGAGGAGTTTGAAAATCAATCACCCGAGAGGGCATACGATTTATTACATAAACAGCATAAGTAACAGCAGCTGGCCAAAAAACCTTAGGAACAGAGGCGCCCAGAAGGAGAGCACGAGCTGTTTCTAGGATATGGTGATTTTTCCGTTCAGCCACCCCATTTTGCTGGGGAGTATGGGAACAGGTCGTTTCATGGAGAATGCCTTGATCACAAAGAAACTCCGACAACTCACGATTAATATACTCACCACCATTATCAGAACGGAGAACTTTAATTACAGATGAATATTGAGTCCAAATCATCTGAGAAAACGATCGGAAAACCATACTCACATCACTTTTATTTTTTAAGACATATAACCACGTCATACGGGTGCAATCAACAAACGTAACAAACCACCGAATTCCAGAAGAGGGAACAATAGGAGAGGGGCCCCAAACATCAGAGTGCACAAGTTCAAACAGTAAAGCTCTTTTATTCATACTAGGAGGAAACGAAGCACGATGGCTTTTAGCAAGAATACATACTTCACAATGTAAGTCTGATTCATTTATTCCACTAAAGAGACTAGGTAACAAATGCCGTAAATACCCAAAAGATGCATGTCCTAACCGACGATGCAACAACCACACTTCTTGTAAATTACTAGATTGTGACGCGCGAACAGCATGAGCTCTGCTAGTAGCGACGTCGTCCACATAGTACAACCCCTCTCTCTTAGTGCCACGCCCAATTATCTCCTTGGTCTGAATATCCTGAAGTAGACAAAAGGACAGATACATTATAACAACACAATCCAATTGTTCAGTAACCTGTGGTATGGATAACAGATGATGGGATAAAGAAGGAACAAGCAAGCAATGATGTAAGGGAAGTGACGGAGTGAGATGCACAGTGCCAGCACCACACACAGGTGCCAGAGTACCATTGGCAGTTGATATATTTTTCTGGTGAGATGTAGTCATATATTGGAATATATTTTTATCATATGTCATGTGATCCGTTGCCCCAGAGTCTAGAATCCAACCTGTATGGTGCTGAGTTTCGGAGGCTAAGAGAACACGTCCCACGGTACCTGTGTCTGAAGACGAGTCACCCCTAGTACGAGTCAATAAGTTGTGACGAGGATCACTAGAACAAGGCACGACCTCCTGGGCTGTTGGTGTTGCCGCAGCAAGGGAGGCACGGCCTCCACTGGAACCCACTGCTCCACGCTCTTTGGCACGTAATTTTTTCTTTAATTCCGGAAACCAATCAGGCACTCCATGCTTAGTAAAGCACATATCCTCAGTATGACGAGTTTGTCCACAGAAAGTACACTTCAAATCATCTTTATTTTCTCGGTTGAAAGCACGAGAATTTAAAGATTGATTAGAAGAATTATTAGAGCGAGAAGCACCAGCTGGCCGAGAAATCATAGCCAGGGACGGCACCCCTCCTTGATTGTTACTACCACCCATCATAGTGGCATGTCGTTGAGCTTCACGCCGAACAACAGAAAACACCTCCCCAACAGATGGTAGTGGCTGAGTACGTAAAATATCACTACGCACTTTATCAAAGACATCATCCAAACCCGCAAAAAAAACATACACACGGTCAAGTTGAATTTCTTCCCAAAGGGTTTTGAAATCCACAGCACATTCCATCTTGATGGGTCTCCTTTGATCTAACTCCTGCCAAACGGACTTGAGATCCGCATAATACACACCAACTTGCCGACCTTCTTGACGAAGTCGGAAAGATTTAACCTTCAATTCATAAATTTGGGAAATATCCGAACCATCATAATAGGTCCGAGCCACCTCTTCCCAAACTTCTTTAGCAGTACGCAGGTGGATAAAAAATCCCATGATAGCAGGTTCCATGGAATTGATCAACCACCCTTTTACGATTGCATTCCCTGTCTCCCATGTCTCATAGTCAGCACTCTCCTCAGCAGGCTCCTTGATACTCCCAGTCACAAAACCCTTCCTACCTCTTCCAGCGATGTGCATCTCTAAAACCTTGGACCAAAGCGGATAATTTGATCCATTCAATATCACGGTGTTGGGTACAGCAGATACATCATGCTGAAGAACAACAGGATTCACGGTACGAGCACTTCCTTCCAATTTCAAAACACCACTACCTTCCGCAGATGCCATATTACCTTCGGGAACAAATCAGAGAAAACTGCACGTTGAAAAACAGTGTCCCACCACACTGCAATACACACGACACTACTACCCCCACTCAAGCGAACTGAGGTCTGCGGGAAGAAGGGCAGAACTAGTCCGGTGGGAGGAAAGGAAAAAGTAGGGTTACGGGAAAACAAAGGTTACGGGAGGAACTAGGGTTACGGCTAGGCTCGTGATACCAAATAGAATTTGACAAGAATAAAATATCTCCTATTACTTTCTTTGAAATATATACATATACAATCCTATACAATCCTTATTGAATAAGGAAACAAATAATTAACTTTATAAACAAAACCTCCCTAATAAAGGACTCACGACCAACACACTTATGTAATTCTAACATTGTACTAATCGTATAGTAATTCTACTCGAAAATCACAATCTTCGTTTTTAGGTTCGATTTGTGAGAAATGGCTGCTGGTTATAATGGAACTGAGGTACCCATCCTACCAAACACTCTTCCGCAATACTCAGAAGATAATGGCCAGCTACTGTTCGACACATTTGTGTCCCAAAACCGAAAGGCATCAGTTTCCATTCCCATGAGCTCTATGGACTCGGACACGTCATATGAAGGGGAACATAGACTTGAAGGTCATACTGGTCCATTAGGGAGCCAAAGCAAACCTCTTTTCGGACCTGTGAGTGGTCCATTATACACTAACGACAGGCCTGATAGCATTTTCCGGGCAGCTCAAGCTCTAACAGCAGGGCAAGAAGCGGTGGAACCTGCAGGAGAAACTTTTCCTTGTACCAATGCAACAAACCAGAACGAATGGACGGATGAAAACTATGCGGGTAAAAATGAACACTTGCTGAGATCTGGCCAGCTGGGGCTGTGCAATGATCCTTACTGCACAACTTGCCCAACATACAATCCCAAGGCTGCTCATCGAAGGACTTCAGAGATATTTGATTCCAAGGTGTTTTTCTCCCCCTAATCAAAGGAATTTTCTTTTAACTTGTGTACATTATTTGTAGACATTTAGGTGCTGTCTTTTATTAAATGCTATGCATTATTGCCACGTAGTAAATATGTCTAGTTCTGCATCTAATCCTGTCAAATGATTAGGATATTGCTGCATGGTAAAAGCTCATGTAGTATATTACACTACTTGATAAGTTGACGGGCGCAAGTGGCCCTTTAGTGGTGGAAAGGAAAAGTTGAGCCCTTGCATAACGACATGGGTTTGTACACCATCAGTGACTAATCTAACATCTAATCTAATAAAATATATCGTTTGACAATAAAAAAAAGAGTTGACGAAGGGCAAGAGAACATGACTATTTTTTGTGTTAACAATGCAATTAAGAGAGATTCTGGAGAGCATGAAATAATATCTGTACTTACATTCTCTGTGTGCAAAAGCACTTACAAAGCAGTAGTTCCTCTCAAGCTGCATTGTATATCTTTTTCTTTCTCGTCACTGCTTCCTTCCCTATTTCTTTTATTTTTTTGGAATGACAAGATATAAGCACTCCAAGAAACTTATGCATATTTCTTTTATCGTCAACTGTTTGTAGTTTTATAGTGCTCTGTATGGGGATGCCAAAGGCAGTGCAAGGAGTTTCTTCTCTTTTCTGCGTCCATATATACCTGGAGTTATGAACCCTCATGCTAAAGTGGTGCAACAATGGGATACGTTTTTCGTCATTTCTTGCATAATATCAATTTTTGTAGACCCACTGTTTTTCTTCCTGCTGCTCGTTGACCAGGTATTTCCTTGGTTCTTCCTTGTCATTTTATGATTTAGTTTGGAACTATCAGTTAGCCGAGAACTAGTTTGGTTTTCCAATTTACACACTTTAGGTATTTATTTGTAATGATAGATTTCTATGGAGAAGATGAGATATTTTTTTAGTTCACTTCGTTGTGATGTTGCTTCCCTTTGAGCTTGATTTCCCCGTCTTTGAATGCAGGATAAGAACTGTATAGTTCTTGATTGGCCTTTGACGACAAGACTTGTGATTTTCAGAAGCATGACTGATTTCATATACCTAATGCACATACTCCTTCAGGTAAGATTTCCTTCCCTCTCATACATTCAGATCGCATTTAGAAGTTAAATAAATGTTGTGGATGAGGTAGGTTGATTAGTCTCAACCCTTGACAGATAAATGAATCTCTCTCCCCCTCTCTCCGCAGTTTAGATTGGCTTATGTGGGTCCTGAGTCTAGGGGGGTTGGTGCTGGCGATTTAGTTGACCATCCGAAGAAAATCGCTCTGAATTACCTTCAAGGATATTTGCTACTAGACTTTTTTGCTGTATTACCGCTGCCTCAGGTAAACTCTCTCTCTCCCTCTCTCTCTCTCTCTCTCTCTCTCTCTCTCTCTCTCTCTCTCTCTCTCTCTCTCTCTCTCTCTCTCTCTCTCTCTCTCTCACACACACACACACACATACACACAAACACGAGCATGATATTCTGTATTATTGGTTTCCCTTGCTTTAGTGGTATTTTTTTACATCCATTTAATAGTTCAAGCAAGTTTTGTTGGGGCTTAAAAAGACTTCACTACTTTGGAGACGTTTATCTCACAAAGAAGAATGTAATGCAGCGGAATTAATAGGCAAGAGAAAGAAAGAACACTCAATGTATTACACAAGATTTTTATTCACTCACAAACTTAGTACAAGAGGAAACACTCAAACACTCTCACACTCTCACACTTCTTGCTCTCTTACTTGCTCTCACTTCTTCTTGCTACATTGCAACACACACACACACACCTAAATTTATAGGCAAGCAATAACCGACTCACCAAGTCGGTGCAATTGGACTAAGTTCCTCCTAGCCACAAGTTTTAATTATTCTAGAGTTTCTATAACAATTCATCAAACATCCTTGCCGACTTAATAATCTAAAATGCTAGAATTGTCTAGCATATTAATATGCATGCATGATGCACCGACTTTGGTGCTAGAATTCTCTAGCATTTCCTATGTATTCACCAACATGCTTCTTGCTAGAATTATCTAGCATTTGTATGAATCTTGTATTGCCTTTTCAACATGGGCTGGACTCGTCCCAAGACTAGATTAGAATTCAACATCCCCCCCTTAATCTTGTCTTGTGATGCCGATTGAGTTTCTTAATCTGACAAAGTCTTCTTGTTTGAGTGGCTTGGTGAATATGTCGGCGACTTGGTCTTGAGACTTCACGTATTCCACTTGCACATCCTTTCTTGCAATACACTCTCTTATGTAATGATAGCGGGTATCTATGTGTTTGCTCCTGTCATGGAATACTGAATTCTTTGCTAGAGCTATTGCAGACTTGTTATCGACATAAATCTCTGTTGGCTCTTCTTGTGGCATGCTTAATTCTTTCAGCAAGTTTCTTAGCCAGATTGCATGACAGACACAAGAGGTAGCAGCTACGTATTCAGCTTCGCAGGTAGAGAGAGTGACAATCGGTTGCTTCTTTGACATCCATGTGAATGCAGTGTCTCCCATGAAGAACACAAATCCAGTAGTGTTTTTTCTGTCGTCGGAATCTCCTGCCCAATCACTGTCGCTATATCCAACAAGTTTGTAGTTACTAGAACTTAAATAGAACAAGCCAAAGTTAACAGTACCTTTAAGGTATCGAAGAATTCTTTTAGCTGTCTTCAAATGTGTAGTTGTGGGATTCTCCATGTAGCAACTGACTAATCCGACGGCATAGAGAATATCTGGTCTTGTGCAAGTCAAGTAGCGCAAGCTTCCAACTAAACTCTTGAAAATGTTAGATCTACACTTTCTCCTTCGTCATGCTTGGTTAGTTTGACTCCACACTCCACTGGTGTGCTTATGGGCTTGCAGTCGTCCATTTTGAACTTTTTCAGTATCTCCTTTGTGTAGCTTTCTTGGGAGATGAAAATGCCTTCTTTGTTCTGCTTGACTTCAATGCCTAGGTAGTATGCCATCATCCCGATGTCGGTCATCTCGAATTCTTTGGTCATCACTCTTTTGAACTCTTCATACATGCTTGGATTACTTCCGGTGAAGATTAGATCATCCACATATAAGCACACAATTAGAATATCTCCATCTTTGACTTTGACGTAGAGAGCATGTTCATGAGGGCACTTGGTGAAGTTGTTTTCTTGGAAGTACTTGTCAATGCGACTATTCCATGCTCGTGGAGCTTGTTTTAACCCATAGAGGGCTTACTTCAGCTTCAAAACTTTGTCTTTATGCTCTTTGATTTCATAGCCTGGTGATTGCTGAATGTAGACTTCTTCTTTAAGGACTCCATTTAGGAAAGCGGATTTCACATCCATTTGTTGAATCTTCCATTTGTTTTGAGCTGCCAAAGAAATTAGTAATCGTATAGTTTCCAACCGAGCAACGGGTGCAAATACCTCATCATAGTCGATTCTGGCTCTTTGACTATAGCCCTTCGCCACGAGTCTCGCCTTGTATCTTTCAACCTCTCCATTGGCATTCTTCTTTGTCTTATACACCCACTTGACTCCGATGACTTTATGTCATTTCGGAAGAATAGCGAGTTCCCATGTATCGTTCTTCTGGATTGCTTTAATTTCTTCATCCATTGCTTTCCTCCACTTAGTATCTTCAATTGCTTCTTGGAAGTCAACTAGTTCACAATCAGAGAGACAGAAAAGTGTAGGATTATCGAGTCTTTCAGCTACCTCATAAAGATCTCGTAGACTTCTTGTACGTGATACTTCTCTTTCATTTAGACTTTCACTTGATGATGCTGATGCTGGTGAATTACCATGATTGGTTGATGTTGGTGAAGCAGGTGGAGTAGTGGATTCTTGTTGAACCTCTCTTGCTTGCTCCATCATCCCTTGTTCATTCTCTTCTTCAAGCTGAGGAAAGAAGTGAAGATCATCTGCATGAGAGCAAAAATTTCATTCTCCTTCTTTATCGAACGTCACGTCTCGACTGGTCACCATTTTCCCAATGTTTGGATTATACAGTTTATAGCCTTTTGAATTTAAATCGTAGCCGATGAAGATGAACTTCTCACTTTTGTCGTCGAGTTTGGTTCTCCTCTCGTCTGGTACATGTACATGGGCTATGCTTCCAAAAATTCTTAGATGAGAGATACCTGGTTTTCTTCCACTCCATGCTTCTTGTGGAGTCTTTCCCCACACACTTCTTGTTGGAGACCGATTGGATAGGTAGATAGCACATGCTACCGCTTCTGCCCACAACTCCTTAGGCAATCTCTTGCTTTTGAGCATGCTTTGAGCCATGTCGAGGATGGTTCGATTTTTTCTTTCCGCCACACCATTTTGTTGAGGGGATCTTGGAACTGTCAAAGGTCGATGAATTCCATTTGCTTCACAGAATTCTTGAAACTCCTTTGAAGTGAATTCTCCTCCTTGATCAGATCTCATGACTTTGATCTTGCAACCACTTTCTTTCTCTACAGCAGCTTTGAACTTCTTGAATGCTCCAAATACCTCTGATTTCTGCTTTAAGAAATACACCCAGGTTTTCCTTGAAAAATCATCAATGAAGATAAGGAAATAATTATTTTTACCCAAAGAGCTTGGTTTTATTGGACCGCACACATCGGTGTGAATGAGCTCGAGTGGCTTCTAGGCTTTTGTGGTCGACTCCTTTGGAAAGCTTTTCCTGAACTGTTTCCCAAGTAAACATCCTTCGCAAGCTTGATCAGGGCGACTGATGCACGGTAAGCCTCTCACCATCTTGTTCTTGGATAATAACTCCAGTCCCCCAAAGTTAAGATGCACAAAATGAAGATGCCAAAGCCAGGATGTGTCTTTGTAACATATCTTGAGACACTTTGCAACGTTTTGAATGTTCATAGGAAACATCCTATTCTTTGACATTTTCACCTTGGCAATTAATCTTCCTTTGTCATATCTAAGAAAAATGCTATAATTTTTCATGTGAATTTCATAACCTTTTTCTAAGAGTTATCCCAAGCTCAAAATGTTGCTTTTCATATTAGGCACGTAGTAGACATTTGAAATTAATTGGTGACCGCCATTTTTTAGGGGAATAAGGATGTTACCTTTTCCTTTGACGGGTATTTTGGATTCGTCTCCAAAAGAAACGTTGCCACTCACCGATTCATTGAGCTCTACGAACATGCTTCTTCTTCCGCACATGTGGTTGCTAGCGCCGGTGTCAAGGTACCATGTATAGTCTTGGTCTCCATCATTGTTCTTGCATGCTAGTAGCACAATGCCATTATCTTCTTTCTCTTCTTTCACATAATTGACTTTCTCATCAGGCTTGTTGCTTAAAGCTCAACATTCCCAAGCATAATGCCCAAACTTTTGACAGTTGTAGCATTGAACTTGAGATTTTGCATACCTCAAGTTTGAGCGCCCTCTTCCACGACCTTTTATTGAGCTTTCTCCTCTTTCGTAGTTGCTATGGTTGTTGAAGTTCCAACCACGTCCACGTCCGCGACCTCAACCACGACTTCTTTCGTACTGGTTTCTCTCATTGTCCAAGCTTTCTTCTTTCTTCTTTGGCTGGACATGTGTCTTGAGGAGATGCTCATCATTCCCTTACCTCTTCTTATGTTTCTCTTCATATGCTTGTAACGAACTCATTAATTGCTCTATACTAATTTCTTCCAAGTTTTTTGTTTCTTCAATCGTCGCGACAATGTGCTCGAACTTGGGGTCCAACGAGCGTAGTATCTTCTCCATAATTCTAACATCTTCTAACTTTTCTCCGTTTCTTTTTAATTGATTGGAAACGGCTAAGACTCTTGAAAAATAATCAGAGATTGATTCAGACCCTTTCATTTGTAGAGATTCGAACTCACCTCTTAGTACTTGAAGACGAACCTTTTTCACTTGTTCGGCTCCTTTGTAAGAGGTTTGAAGCTTCTCCCATGCTTGCTTGGCAGAGGTTGCACTCGAGACCTTCTCAAAGCCATTGTCATCTAATGTTTGGTAGATGAGGTAGAGAGCCTTCTCGTCTCTCTTTCTTGAATCTTTCAAACTTTCCTTCTGGGGTTGGGACAGAGTAGCTTCATCTTCTGGCTCAGTGTAGCATTTCTCCACGACTTCCCATACATCGTGTGCTCCCAAAAGGGCTTTCATTTTGATACTCCAATTATCGAAGTTGTTGTTGTCGAGCACTGGAATTTGGAAGGCTGCCATAGCGTTGCCAGCCATAGCTCTGATACCACTTTGTTGGGGCTTAAAAAGACTTCACTACTTTGGAGATGTTTATCTCACAAAGAAGAATGTAATGCAGCGGAATTAATAGGCAAGAGAAAGAAAGAACACTCAATGTATTACACGAGATTTTTATTCACTCACAAACTTAGTACAAGAGGAAACACTCAAACACTCTCACACTCTCACACTTCTTGCTCTCTTACTTGCTCTCACTTCTTCTTGCTACATTGCAACACACACACACACACCTAAATTTATAGGTAAGCAATAACCGACTCACCAAGTCGGTGCAATTGGACTAAGTTCCTCCTAGCCACAAGTTTTAATTATTCTAGAGTTTTCTATAACAATTCATCAAACATCCTTGCCGACTTAATAATCTAAAATGCTAGAATTGTCTAGCATATTAATATGCATGCATGATGCACCGACTTTGGTGCTAGAATTCTCTAGCATTTCCTATGTATTCACCGACATGCTTCTTGCTAGATTATCTAGCATTTGTATGAATCTTTTTGTATTGCCTTTTCAACATGGGCTGGACTCGTCCCAAGACTAGATTAGAATTCAACAAGTTTCTCATTGCTCTTTGCCATGGAAGAAAACTGTTTTTCAGTGGCTTTGCCGAGGGAGGGTGATAACCCCTGCCTGCTGCCCTCTCAATCTACCCTAAATTGTATGCATCTGTCAATATATCTATTAATACACTAACATGACATTGCGACTTTTTCTGTCTAATGTAAGCACATCTTTGCTTCCCATGTGGTAAGTTGTTCTTTATATTGTTTGCAGATCATAATACTGTTAGTTCTACCAGACAACTTGGGATTAAGAGCAAATTATGCAAAAAATCTTTTACGTGCTTCAGTTCTTGTTCAGTATATTCCCAGGTTATTTAGGTTTCTGCCTCTGCTCGCTGGTCAGACTCCAAGTGGCTTCATATTTGAGTCAGCGGGGGCAAATTTTGTAATAAATATTCTCATTTTTGTGTTGGCTAGCCACATTGTTGGATCGTGCTGGTACCTCATGGGGCTACAGGTGGGTGGAAAAGGTTTTATTCTTAACTCTCGGAAGTTTCCTGCGATATACATGTTTATGTTCCTCGTGTGTCTTCATTTTGCATGTCCAGAATTATTCAAGGTCCATATACAATCTCTTCTCACCTTTTTGTCAAGCAAGGAAGCAGACTTGGTGATAACTTTTCATGCCTGCGAAAATGGGAAAAATTGCATCTTTATCTATTTGCTTAAACTTGCAATATTATGATTTAATATGATGGAAATCTTTATGGGAAAGGATGGTCATTTTTTTATAAAAATGAGGATTAGTTGTAGAGTCCACACCACATCGAACTTTAATGATTCGAACTGTTTATTTTTCAAGTTGTACCTCATAGATCATCCTTGCAAAATATTAGCCAAATCGGAAATGTTTAAGACATCTAATTGGGTTTAAAGAAATGAACGAATACTTTGTTATATAAGAAACAATGAAATTTGATATTGATAATTAAATAGGCAAATGGTTTCGGATTGAATTGAATTTTTGCAAAGATGATCTATCAATCGAGACTAGCAAAATCGGCGTTCGGATCGTTGAAATTCGATGTGGAGTGGGCCCCACACCTAATCCCCATTAAAAAAAAAAAATAAGAATCCCTCTTATTAAAGGATCTTTTAATATGATAGTTCTTTTTTTTCATTGTTGTATTTGTAATGGATAATATCGTGACTTTCAAATAATGTCGAGGGTTAATCAATCATTCACTTACTTACCCTCTTTCTTGTCCCAGAGGGTTAATCAATGTTTTCGAGATGCCTGCGGTATATCTGGAATTAATGGGTGTCTGAGCTTCATAGATTGTGGGCGTGGAAATGAATTTGGAGATTCTGGAGTAGATAATCCATCACGTGATAGCTGGATAAACAATGCGAATGCTAGTGCGTGTTTAACTTCAAGTGGCTATACTTACGGAGTTTACTACCAAACTGCCTCTCTTACAACACAAAAGAGTATAGTCACTAGATATGTGTACGGATTGTTTTGGGGATTCCAGGTATCGCTTCCATTTGTCCCTTCTTTTGGCCACAAATCATTTAAAATAACTGTACAATTCTTACTTTATACTCAGTTAAGTTAATTGTCCATCATAATCTTGTTTTGGCATGGTCTCATTACAAAGCTGATTGAAAATAACCATGTCATTTACATTAAGCAGACACTCGGTACCGTGGCTGGAAATCTAGTTCCGAGCTATTTTGGTTGGGAAGTCCTTTTTATAATTGGCTGCATTGCCCTAGGTGTCTTGGCTTTCGCTCTTCTAGTTGGAAATATGAAGAACTTGGTGCAGGCTCTTGACCGGAGGTACAACTTTTATCCTAAGATTTATTCTTCTTAAATATTCCTACACATTTATAGTCATTTGATCGTGACATATCTTACTGAGTAAGTATTGAACATAGGCTAATTGAAATTGTTGGAATTTTGGATTGACGGGCTCGGGGCCCCATTCTAACGACCCTCATACTGTCCACAGGGTAATCATATTTAAACTGACACGCTCCAGTCCCAATGTCCTCGAGATATCGGGTTGGTCACGTGCTGGCCGATACCCGAATGTGACGCAAGCAATTTAGAATGCATGAGAACAAGAATTAAATAGGACTTTATAAATTTAAATATAATTAATATGTCAAGAGGAACGTGTTCAAAGCACATATCTAATCTAGAACACTAAAAGAAATAATATAAAAATTGAATGAACAAGGAATGGGTCCTACACCGAGAGGACTCGAAGATGCCGATACGGAAGTGTTTTGATGTTGGGATCATACGTCTCAAATCTAAATCCTAAGGGAGCGCAAAACAAACATGAGTGGACCAAGTTGATATATATATATATACACACACACACACACTGAAATAGTTACCAACATACTAACCCCCAAAATTTTATGAAAACATCAATAGTCTAATATGTAATAGGTTTTTTCGAAAACCATAGCATCCCATAAAACCTTTCATAAAACATATGTCGTATAAAGTGCTAACTAGTTGTATCAGTATCAGTAACAGTATCAAAACTCTTCATTTGCCAAACAAGCATATATATCACTTGCCAAATAGGCATAATAGTATCATTTGCCAAACATGCATGTATATCATTTGTCAAACAGGCATATCAGTATCTGTTGATCCTAAAAACTATCAAGCCTATATGGCATGCAGGCCGAGTAATTAATAAACTAACTATGTCCTTTTGTTGTGTGCGGGGTGTGCCAACTCGTCGGCCAAGCTCGGCTAAGGAGTAAAATGTGTTGATATTGCGTTAAGCTCGCTGCTGACTTCTTAATCTTGTGACTGCGGCCGAGGAAGGAACACGTATTGGCCTTTGAGTTCTAGAGCCTGAAGACAATGCTGCTAGTTCTGCGAAATTCAATATCAAATTCGACTCTTAGTGTGCCGAATGTAGTAACCTAGTAACATCTCACTTCGCCGAGAAGGCTGATGAGATGACATCTACCAACAAGGACTCGAAAATCCTTGTCGACCGAGACTTGGATAGGTAACCAGTTGGTCTCGAAGAAGTGTTGTTTATACAAACTGAAGGTGTTCATCGATCTGCTGATTCTACGGCTCCAGTGATGTTTATCCAAACTGAAGATGTCACTGGTTGCCTTCATAATGCTGTTTATCCAAACTAAAGATGTGTTGGTAGAAAAATAAAATAAAAATATCAAGGTTGTTGAGAGGTTTCACGTAGAGCGAGAGTTTGAGCATGACAGTTTGTGTGTTGAATTGGAGAGGGCTTGAATGATGCACTCCCTCCTCTATTTATAGCAGTGATAGCCCCTATGGCTGAACTAGAAATATATTATGACCAGAACTCTTCAAACCCGTTTGGTTAAACTTCGACCAATCCTAATCTCCATAGGACTTTGAACCAAACCTTTAAACAAACCAAGTTCATCTCCTAATCCCAAGTACTTTAGCTTTGAGACTCCTTATTATACAAGGATTCGACTACTTCACCTTTATCCGAAATAATCCCATTCATAACAGGATTCGGCCAATCTCGACAGGGCCAGCCCATGATAAAATTTGAAATAAGCATCATTGGGCCGAGAATATTTCTGAGCTCGACCGAAAATAACATTTTGGGTCCAAACATTGCCCCTTTGTTTCACTTCTTCAACCTAAAACACATGGCTGAGCATCAACCTTGAAAAAGTGAAACAAATCTTTCAGTATATCCCTAAAAAACCTTGAAAATCCCAACCACTCATACACATTTATGAGGTATGACTACACAATCTCAAACTCGTCAGACTTCCTGCCACTCGGCATCTCCTTGGCATGTTTGTCTTGAATGATGACATTTGATACTAAAACGCCCCCTTATAAATAAACTTTCTACCATACATCATCATTGCAACCTTGATTTGCGAGTTTTTGGCCTTTTTAAGACATGCGGACACTCAAATGTCTTTTCACCATTAAGTCGCCGTCACATGCCATCGTGCAATCTCGATCCGTGAATTTTCCGGTTCTTTCACTTGGATTCGTTGAATATCCATCATGATTTCCAAATCATCCGATCGATTTCATCCCCATTTCAAAACAAAAATGTTGATCTTCCTCCAAAAATGCCTATAAATACCCAACTCTCCTTCATTCAAACTTTACGATTTCAAAATTCTCGAATCCTTATTGCCATTTGTTCTCACAGCCCAGAAGATTTCGAAATCCAGAAAACTTCCTAGTCCCAAAAAATTTCTCGAATATTCAACAATGGTCTCCAACACCTTTATTACTAAGCTTTCTAAGGAGTGCGCCAAATGCGATGACTTCATCGATCAAAATGCCATCAAGACCCTACGGTTTGCAAGTGACTCAGAAGCCACCCATCAGATCTTAGGACCGCTTTTCAAGGACGTCGTTCAAAAGGCCATTACCGAAATGCTCAAGACCCACTGCTTGAAACCCTTACTCCAGGGGTATGAGTGGTCGAAGTGGGATTCGACCAGGCCTCAAGGAGCTTGGCCTTCGACCACAGCAGCATGGGCAGCTTGGGTCGAACGAATGGAAAAGTTTTTTAGCACGAAGTGGAAAACTCTTGGCATTTATGATGCCATCAAGCTCTCGACTGTTGAAATTGTCATAGACCGACAGCTTCTCATGGCAGCCTTGAGTTTTTGGTGCTTGGCCACCAACACAATGGTACTTCCCTTCGGCCCCATTGGCCTGACCATGCTCGACATATCAGCCATCCTTGGCACTTCTCCATATGGTTTCCAGTTGATGTTGTTCTTCCTGGATATCAATTTGACTTGAACCTTAAATCATTATTCGACGAACGTGCCGTCGAAGCCTTAAAGAAGAATGACCAAGAAGCCCCAAAAGAAGAAGTTCAGAAGATGCATAAGAACTTATTCAACCATAACACTATTATCCAACACTTTGCTGACCGAGGGGAGGAAGATCTACGAAATGGAGAACATAAAGCCTTCCAATTTTATTGGTACAACCAATTTATTATTTGTACTAAGTCAAATAAGTGTTTGATTGAAAACATGCAAGTGGCCGAAGCCCTGGCCAGTGTTCACACCCTAGCTCTTAGTTCGGTCATCCTCGCCAACCTCATGCGCTGCCTGGCCGAAGCGATCGTTGCCAAAATTGATCCGCACCAAAACGGCCCACTCTGGGTTTTCCAGCTCTAGTTGCAAGTTTACTTCGCCTCTTTGAGGCCATAAATCCCCAGCTTCAAGTCTTCTGAAGCGTTAGGTCTTCAATTGGTCTTTAGACCAACTTTTCCTCACTCGGCCGAGGAAGTTTTCAAGTACTTCATCGGCCTAGAAGATCTTTCTAACGCTGAATTCCTCATCTGTCATCGTCATGAGTACCCTTCCTCCATCAAGCTTCCATCCTCAGCATAGGATGAGACCGAAGACACTGATCTTCGACAAAAATAGAGGGCGATCATGCTAACTCGTGACCTTCATCTTGGTTGTGATGCTCGGCAAGAGAGTTGAGAAATCTACCACCCCCACTTTACCGCTCGACAACTTGGCTACCTCTAAGGCTGCCCTGTACCTCTACTTACTTCCCACTCTCTTCTAAGTCGAGAACGCATCTCTGGTTTGTCAGAGAAATAATGTAAAGAGGCCGAGCGAGAATTTCAAGAAAGGTGCATGAAATTCCACCTTTGGCCGAACGTCCCTGAAACTCACAGCACTAGCACATTTGCTGATTGGTGGGACACATACATCCAAGAGTTCTTTAGCATGCCGGTCGAAGATATTGTCTAAAAGGTCTTCGACGATCATCCAAAGGAAGCTCCCACCCCAAAATCCAAAGAAACAGCCCAAGGTATACGTCATTTATTTATTTCTATTTCTTGCTCAAAAACTTTCATCCTAACTTGAGTTTATTTTCAGTGAGTTGTCCAATAAAGCATGCCAACACGGCCACGACGGTTGCAGCGAAAAAGAAGCATGCCCCTCCAAAGAAAGCTGCAACTGTTCAAGCTCCTACGGCCTCTCATACTCCAATGGCGGCCACTACTATACCAATCACACCAAGCAAACGACCTCAACCAGAGATAGGAGCGGTTGGTAACGTTGCCCCACCCAAAAAACGCATAAAAAAGAAACCAAAGAAGGGGGATCGAGGTATTCTTGTGATTTCAAGTCAAACAACAAGGGCAACTGCTCTCTGATGGACCAAACGACTTAAGTTCCCCCTACTGTTCCATCCGTGGTCGAACCAGTCGTCGTTCCATTGGTCGAGGGTCCTGCAATTCAAGGACCGATTGTTACTCCTGCAGTTGGCTCAATAGCTGTTGCTGTGGGAAGGTGGCCACTCTGGCTAAGAATAACCCATCCCCAAATCTAAAAAAGAAACCAATAATCGTCGTCAAAGAAAAGGTACGACCATTTTTGTTAGTAATTTTTCTATTTAATTGGACCTCCCAACTAATGAACAACATTTTTTTGTCTAGAAGGACGAGAGCAAATAACCTTTGTTGGTGAAGTGCCCCCAACTGGCCGAACTGCCACCCACCATTCCTTAGCTGGTGATCGAAATGGCTGGCCAAGTCAACTCTCCTGCTGTCAAAGCAAACGCGGGGCATGAAGCGGTACCTACTGTCGAGACGGAAGTGACAGCAGAAACGCCGATTCATCCCCAAGATCAGAATCTCAGCATTACTCCACAGAAGGTTACTTCGGCCTTTGTAAGAACCTTCATTATCATTCTATTAACTTCCTGCTTTAGAATTCTAAACCAAAAAATATTAAATGTCAAGTACCTAATTACTCGTTTCATCGAAAATTCTATGCGCCAAATGGTGTTATCTATATTTC